AATTAAAACCTGAAAAATAACAAATACTGCTTGCATGCTTCTATCTTTTACCAGGATTTTACTAAGTTTTTCAATTGTTTTCTTAACTAGATAAAACGAATACAATGAAGTAAAAAAAAATTGTGTATCTGTTTTACAACTTCCTGTTGAAATAATCGTTTGACAAATATCATCACCCTTCCCTTTAGTCTCCCTGAAACGGTACGATTATCTATAATTTGCAATAAAAAGAGTGTTTGTAACAAACAATGGAGTCATTGAACTAATCCCCGGGACTGGCTAAGGCGAGATTCCAGAAACTAACACTTGTATCAGCTTCTTTCTTGAAGTTTCAAGATAATCGCGTCACGGTTAGTGATTCACTGGAAATGATTGTGGGATCCCATTATCTTCCCGGTCACTTTCTCGGATCACCTGGTCATCGTTTTGCGTCCCTCCCCCGGGTCGGCTATTAAATTTATGCAGAGTCGATAGGCCTCTACCGCGAAATATGTATAAAGGTGGTGGACTCTTATTTAACATAGCCGGCAAGCCGGCAGTGGCTCAGTCGACCACCGACCGTAACACAGAGGTATTCACATCTCCAAGTTAACATATCTCAGTTAAACTTGGGAGTCCGGTGCCTAGAACTTGCTTTTCCTCCGTGTAAAAGTGACAAATTTGCTTTCATCATCATGGCTTTCGTCCTCGCGTTGGGCCTGCTATTGTCGTCGAGTGAGTCCCTTTTTATGTACCTTCTATTTCTTCATCTCCTTTTTGTAGGCGGGTTGAGCCGGTGATTCACGATTGAAGAACAGTTTCAGTTCGAAAGATTCTCATATGGTACCGAAAAATTCTCGTGAAGTGACAGAAAAAAATCATTGATTTTTAACATCGTTCATTGACACTTGGGAGTTTGATACGATGTTTTGAGGAGAAATACGTTTCTTTAGAAAATGTTACTGCTCTGGAATGTTAGATAACGTTGTAACAGCAAAAACGTGAAGTGCTATCATCGGGATTAATTTATTAAATTGACGTAGAGCGAGTGGATTAAAAAGAACATATCAAATGGCGGAATGATATAATTTATTCGATGACGATATCAATATTCACTGCAGATTGCCTACGTATAACGATGTTAGGAACATAATATTAGAAACGCATTCAGTACGCTCGAATGAATATTACTACCGCTCTAAATAAAATGTCTCGCAGTCTCGGTATTATTTTACTACCTTCGTATCTTCGATTACTAAGGAAGACGAACGAAGGCGCGGACGATTACGATTATTTCGATTCCGGAGACGTTTCGGCATCCGGCTATGACCACTGATTCTAAATTAATTACGCTTATTATTATTAATATCACGGAACTGATTAAGATTCACGAGAGGGAACCGCTACTGTCGCCGGTGCATGTTACAACCTGCAACCCGGTCACTCTATCACATCCTGGTATGCAAACGACAATTAGAACGTTCGTATTCACACCTGCGCCGGAAATCTTGACTACGAAAATCCTAAGTAAGAGCAAGTTACATAAAATTCAGCAAAAGGGAAAGCTAAACACCATAGAGACGTACGTAGGCGCGTAGTACGCGGTTCTTGGATTCATAAGACGTAAACAAATTCGCGAAATTTATAGCAGCGGTTTCTCAGTTTATTTTGATTAAAACACAATCTCACCGGAAATTTTACGATTCCATCTTATTTGTGTGTTCGCCGACAAACGAAGTTGATGACCCATACCAAATTTAGCCTCCAAGAAAGTAATCTTCTTTTTTTAGATTTCTGTCTTTAATGATACGTACATAAATTAAAAATGAGTATTTCGAAAGAAGTGTCACAATTGGCTTATATAACATTTTCTACTTATGCGACTGTCAATCGTTACGAGTGTCATCTTGATATGATTTTAATAATACGATTAAGCAATGTTATCACGACGCAACGATCAGCGACAGTGTTGATTACAGGAGTTGCGTTAATTCCAATAGGTCTCTAACAATGTGTGTCGGAATACACCGATCTTAGGTAATCCAGTAATTAAAATAAAATGAGACAATAATGATGTTCCTTGAGCCAGCTTAAGGTTAATTAAACCAATTTACCGTTTAAGAAATCGAAACTGTTAACTACACTTTGTCGAATTTATTCTCTCGTTCCTCAGTGTCTATATTAAAAAACGTTTTCTCGCAACGAAACCGTGAAATAGCATGTCATCTGAAACTCTCTTTTAATGACAGAGACAAGTAAATTATCGGAGATGTTAAAATCGATAGGACTCGACAATTTCCATCAGCTGGAGTCATTTATCTCTGACGTATTCATCGTCAGTCGATGTTTCAACGCTTTACAAAATTGAGGGCAGAAAAAGACGATATACATTTGTCACTGGGATGTCTGGAACGCAATAGCCCGCGATGTGTAATTTTGACTAAACGATTCCAATCGTAGATAGTGCAACAATCGAGTGACGTAAGAAATAGTTGAACAAGCGCGGTGGTATCGTAAAGTTTTCGCCTCTCTCTTCGGGGTTTCCTAAAGATTCTATCTCAGTGACTTGATAAATACTACCATATAGATTTAACCTTTCACTTATTATTTCTAATTACATCAAGCCGGCGTCGTATATTTTTAAAACAGTGAAAACTGTTCGCTCAATCGCTTCAAATACATATCTATATAAAACTTCAACTTATTGTACAATCTCGCGTTTCTTTCGTTCCTGGAATATCTCGTCAAATCCGCACGTATTCAAAATTTATTTGGAACAAATGTCTGAGATAAATTTCCAAATTTCCTCGAAAAGTCTTTCCGAGGTTTTCCTCTTTTCTTTATTTCTACCTTTAAAACGGGTCTTAATAAAAACAAGTACATATATCAGCACGGCAAGAAATAATGCTCGATCGTTAGGTACAAAAAATATTTGCGAAAAATACGCGACGTGCAATTTTCCGTGTGAATTACATATTTGCTTGCTGCGAACGGAGACTGATAGAATTTATTTTCCGTGTGAATTGCATATTTGCTTGCTGCGAACGAAGACTGATAGAATTTTCGTGTTTGATTCGTTTATCACAAATGTTACATATACGTAACTCCTGCGATGATATATACCTAATGTCCATAAATGCGAACGATATCGTTCGGGCATGTTCGTACTATCACTTACATGCCGCGTATTGCGTAATCCACAGGAAGGGAAAAAGAAGAAAATTGCCGGAAAAATTGAAGCACGTTTGCGAGAGAATTGGTCAATCAAAAATCGTAGAATTAATCCGCAAATAGAATTCATTTTTCAATGAAATACTGTAGTTCGTTTTAACTAGAAGAAGATTTAAGAAGAAGTAGTTGACAAGGGCACTGCGTTTTTAAAATGAATTAAATAATAAGATAAACGATGGTTCGTTTGAAAATATTAATTGTCCCTGGCAATATAAAAATGACATTCTTGAGAAATTGTACTAACCATGACACGTCCTACTTACGTTCGATGTAAAAAGTATTTGTACAGTTTTTTATCCATGCAGTACTTCAATGCTGATGTATTTAAACTGTAGTAACTGACTTAGATAGGTAAACAGTGTTCCTGTTTGAATGAGTATCACGAGAGATATAATATTAATCAGAAAATCTCTTACTAAGTACCATAAGCATATGTAAATAGATTCAACGCTTTCTCTTCCTCTTATTTAAAGAAACTTCATGAAATTTGACTAAAATCCTATGACATCATGATTTCCACGTCGGTATGTACATATGGCAAGGAAGCAATTCAATAAATTCACGTTTGAATATTGTCAGGGTCTCGTCAATCTGCACAATTCTTACCATTTAATATTAAAAAGCATTATAGAAGTTTCGGTACCAAACTTATACGATAATACATATCTGAACTGATAATAAATAAATTCGTGTATCATACGTATACGTGTACGTGCTGTGTGTAATACTCGATTAAAAAGCGTCTTTACACAAATCGTATTGACATTAAAACACGTGATATGGACAAATGTAATACAATAGGTTCCATTGTAAACGATAAGCGAAATTCTAGATTGAAACGAACAAAAGATTGAAAGTAGTTACGAACATTTAAGTGATACAGAGAATTTATTTGAAGCGTGTAAAATAAAAGATTAATGTGCACCAGACGTAAAATGTTTGCGAATAAAAGCTGATAAATATGTATTCAATCAATTTCGTTTTACATGAGTCTGTAAAGAACAATAGTGCGAGGAAAAGTGAAACGCGATTGTATTAATAAACTGAAACGAAATATATAACTGGGAATATTCCATGATCGTCCCATTCTTTGATACAATCGTAAAGAAAATCAAACATTATCATTATCAGTAATATTCGGCGTATCGTATCATGTGACGCGGTCAATTATCAAACACTGGCGTTTGAAATCGTTCTTAGTAACCAATTGGCCAGCTGCGCGCTGTTCGTATTCGAATCTCACTTTTCTCATTTTATACAACCAACGCAACGTTCGATCGTTTAATGTGACAACGTCCTGCGCAACGATATCAACCGTCCAAGGTCGTCCCTTTATCTTTTCACCGTCTAAAAAGACAAGGATGGTCTCGCAATGAAATGTAATAGTGCTTCACGTAATACACGTCCCGGTTTCCCAGCACGATCGTCGGTGCATCGGCTAAATAGATTTTACAAGCGTCTCGTTGCCTTGCATCGGCGGGAATAAACATTTCGCGTGTCGAAAGGACAGTTGCGCTGCTACGTCAGCTGTTCTTGGCCTGTCGCTAAATTAGTTTATAGTCCTCGAAATGCCGGCGAAAGGACCTCCCTTTCCCATACGGTCTGCCAGTTCGCCTCGAAACAATGCTCGGATCCTAAGTAAATTGTCAAGCCTCTTCATCCTCATTGCTTCTACGTCCACGACGTTGCGTTCGTCATTCGTCGCACGTGTCGAGCATATGCATAGGAACCGGAGGCACGGGTATATGCGCGATTTATCTTTCGCAGCAAGGGCTGACTCATTAAACCGGTAATCGAGCAGCGGCCGCGTGCACGAAGACGTTCTATTTTGCTTTCCACGGGGAACTTCAAATTTATCGTTTGAATCATGAATAATACATTCCCGTTCCCCCGCAATCTCCGTCTCCGCCAACTGATTTTTTCTAGTTACGCGAAAAGTCCATGGAAATATTTTCCAACGCATCTTCTTTTCAAGTCTACTGGTTTCAAGGTTCACGTATTCCTTCATTATAATAATTGCGTTCATGTTCAAACATATAATGCATCTTAAATTATAACTTTAAAAGTCAACTGCTATTATTTAAATGGTTGCACATTGTTTCAAGTTGGCAAAAAGATACCCCTTTTTTGTACAAATGATTGTAGAGTACATTATAGTTGCAATAGTGGGGGGAAAATAAACTGTTATTTGCATACTGTCCTATCTTAATGCATACAGTTAAATACATACAGTTTCAGTTTTTTCTGTGGTATCTTTTCTTGTCCGTTTCATTATAAGTCGTTTTTTAAACAGCTGATGATTCATTATTTAAGGATGTATTAGCTATACAGTCAATCCCAAAAGTTTATGTACCTTAGAAAAACAC